ATAATGAATTAGGAAGACTAAGATAATTGTGTTTTTTGTGGAGGAATTTTTTTTTTAAAGGGTAGACGTCTGACAAATAATCTGATATTGCTAATGATAAGAGACACTCTGTTAGAACTGGAGAAGGTGAAAGAAGAGTATTTTTAAAAACAAGTATTCAGAAAAACTTTCCGCATTTAATAAAAAGTTCTCTGTAAGAATGTGGGGTTTAAAAATTTTTAATGTATTTACTCTTTGGAAGAAAGGGTCCCTGTAGAGTAAAAGCTGGCTATACTTCTAAAACGACACAAGTCTAGCTCTCACGCTCTGAAGACACGAGTCAGCTGGCTAATCGCCAACAATCGTCCTTTACAAATTTAAATAAACAAAGGTCTTATATAGTGATTTTGCAAGAACCTAAAATAACATGGGCACTCCTAAGGAAACCCTTCCACATAAAAATCAAGTAAGGAAAAATGGAAACTAATGTTTTATATTACGATTAGGTCAAAGACCTTTTTTTCCCTTCTGTATTTAAAAAATAGTCATTAAAAATTTTTTTCTCTCCCATGAGTAACCATAATTGTTTTTTTTTAATAATTAAGGACAATGGAAGACAAACGCAATTTGTTTTAAATTTTAAGACCTACATATTCTATTCATTTAATTTTTTTTTTAATTAGGAAGAGAGAACACAATATTTTAGCAAACACATTTTTTTTTTAAACAACAACCCAACAGAGATTCTTTGGTTCTACAGAAAGTCTGCAGCCACCCCAGTCTGTAGTCTGGGTGTTGGGAGTAAGATATGGAAGAAGAGACAAAAAGACAATGAGAGAGGACAAGGTGGGTAGGGCAAAGCCACGGACACAGAGACGGGAAAAAGGGGCGGTAAAGGAAGTGAAGAGACCATCTTCCATGGGCAAGGACCTCCCAGGGGGTGGTCTCTGAGGGAGCAGAGCAGGGTGGCGTTCCAGTGCCAGAGTCGGATCTGGAGCCACGTTCTCCCGGTGCTCGTCTCGATCTTGCCCAGGCGGCGGCATGCTCGGTCCTGGGAGAGGCCCGGAGCCTTAGCTCCTCAGAGACAGTGTGCCGGGGGGACTGCCCAGCCCCGGAGCATGGCACCCTTCACAGCCACGCCGCAGAAGCCGTGTGAGGGCGAACCCGCGAAGGGAATTCAATTGCATAACCGGGACTACTGAGAGCTTTCTTCTTCCCTATTTCTCTTCTGAGATCTTGGAAAGCAATTCCGCAACTCACTTTCTCCTCCATAACCACTTCCTAAGGAACCGAGGAACATCTTCAGTTGGAAAGGTATAGGGAAGGCTTGCCTATGGATTAATAGTTATTCATAAAAATACTTTGTGTGGCTCCCTCTTCTAAAATTCAACATCTAAGTAATTTGGAACAAATTAGTGAATTGGGGGGAGATGCTCACAGGCCAAATTTCCGCAGCCAATGCTTCCTGGCCAGTTTATAAGCTTTCGAAAAAACTGCCGGCATGTGCAGAGGAAACATAATCCGCTGTGCTTAACACTTCCCCAGTAAACTCTGGAATGTGAGATGTAAAATTGTCAAACTGTAAGGAAGCCTTCAGTCCTAAACTTTTGTAAAGCTTAGTCAACAGATTTGGCACTTATTTGATTTTTTTTTTTAAAGACAGCTGAGAAAAGCTGAATAAAATATGCCTTTCTAACACAACATACTACAAGTTTCTTCTCTCCCTTAACATTTTGCTTTCTCTCATGTTTCCAAATTAGTTGCAAGAGATTCTATTTAGGGATCCAAGAAATGGTGTCAGAGAAATAATCATTTCTCTTTCAACATTTCTCTGTTATTAGCACCTGAGACACAATGTAATCAACATAAGTCATGTTCTAGAAGGCTCTACATATGACACAGCCCTCCCTTGGGGTGGGGAAAGAGATTCCAGGCTCTCCAAGCCCCCTGATAGACAACAGAGTGAAGCTTGGGGTAGGGGTGGGGGCCAGCAGACCCTCATTCAGGCTTGACTACACCGTGGATGAGGTGTGTGGCCTTAGAAAAGCTCCTTCCCCTCTCTTAGTCTCAGTGTTGTCAAGTGTAAGAAGAGAACAACAGCTATAGTACCAGGTACATGAGGAGTAGGGTGATAAGGCATGAGCCTGGCCCCGTTCACACTCGATTACCCTTAGTGCCACCGCTTCAACAGCCACTGCAGCATCTGCACGCCCGGGGTATATGGCAGGCTGGGTCTCTCCCAAACATTTCCTCCCCTTTCTCTTCTCTCTACTTCCTTACCCCTTACCCCCTATGATTTTAATGTATTGCCTTTAAATCTTCTTGGTTCTTTGACATAATGGACGGCCTTATGTAAGGGGGAAAATGTGTGTGAAGCAAACAATGGAAAGGTTGATCAGAAGGACACTGATCCTACTGGTCTATTAAAGTGCTGATTATGAGTCAAACTCTCTCTGGAACCTCAGAAACTACACATCCATTAACAAAGTTCCCTGGAAAGCTAAGACTTTGTCAAAGACAATGGCGTGGTTAGCAATAGAAGAGAGGAGCTGAACCAACAGCCGGGCGGACCTTCGCACAGCCTTGGGCGGAGCACAGACTCTGGAGTCCCAGAGGCGGAGACACGCCCACCCCGACAACGGCTGCGTGGCACCGCAGGTAACTGAGCCTCGGGCACCTCTTCTCTTAAATAGGGAACGTAACAGCGGTCTTGCCTGCCACATGAAGAGTCTTGAAGGGACAAATGAGATGACATTTATGAAAACAGCCTGAAAGCCACAATAAGTCATAAGTTCCAGCTGGGCGCTGAGCATTGGGGTTGCGTGAGGGGACACTGAACTCCAGGAGGGGCGGCAGGGAGGGCGGGCCATGGGAAGGGACCCTGGCCAGTGGATGGGAAGGAGAGAACAGGCATGGAGAGGGAAAGAAGAGGCAAAAGGGGGCATCAGAAAGAGGCTCAGGAATGAGAGGTGGACTCTGCTACCTGGCGCTTTTCCCTGGGCCAGCTGCCCACCAGTGCTGCACTGTCCCCAAAACATGGAAATGAAAGCCTCCTGCAGTAATGACAGAAATGAAAATCTAAGCCACAGAAACCGCGGGATGCCTTCCTGGACTCCACCACACTCAACCCGGGCCCCAGGAGGCAAGCTTTACAAAGGACTTCATTTTTTCCAAGGAGGGTAAGAGATTCCTTGAGCAGAAACAGGATCTCAAAGTTGCTCTCTCTTCCTCACCTCTGGGACGATACGAAAGCAGAGGAGTCTGAAACCCCAAAGCCAAGGAAGAGGACTGAGAGGACTCTGGCCTAAAATGCAGAAGAATTCAGGAGCTCTGAGCTCTACACCCAGTGTGGCTGCTAATCACTGACCTCTCTATGCCTCAGTTTCCCTCTCTCTAACAGATGGGTACTGGTGTCAGGTGATCCCTTCCTACCCTGTCATTCTCTGGCCGTTGGGCACTTCTCCTTGATGAAGATTGTTGAAGGGTCACCAAAGGGGAATGAAGCCCAAGATCCAAGATGTACAGGTAAGAAACGTAGAGGACATCTGTGCCCCACAGTAGACGCTGGCATCCCAGCTGGCTCGGATTCTGGGAGGCCTCTCTGGGGCCCGGGGAGAAACGCCAAGGTGCACCTGGGCTGGGGTAGGAAGAGGACTCCCCTTGGAGCCCAGCTCTTGGAGCACCAGAGCTGTGTTGGTTCATCTTTATCCCTCAGTGCACCTAACATGAGACGAATAAGTGACTGCATGGGATTTGCTCAGGGAGATGGAATATGATGCTTCAATAAAATATTATCAAAATCTCCCAGTAATAAACAAAGAAATCCTAAGTGGTTCAATGGAACTGAAGCATGTGCCTGATTATAAGGAAAAAGTATCAAAAAACCATGGCCCTTGTCTCCCGGTGAGGATACAGCTCACTCCAGCCCTGCACTTTGAGAATGGAGAACCCGGGGTCCAGGCTGGGTAGGTGAGATGCTGAAGCCCCAGAACAGCAGGATGTGGCTGGAATGTAGGTTTTCCTGCCTCCCAGGGCACAGCAAGTAAATAATCAAAGATGCAGGAAACAAGATGTCTTTTTCTTGCTTCCTACAGGAAGGGCGATAATAGTTGCAAATATTGTATACAGAGGAGCTTTGCAGGTAAGAGATGTTGTTCAAACGTCATTTATGTCCCCAAAGTAAAAGAAAATGGGTTGTCTAAAGAACAAGACTGTGGTCAGAAAAAAGCAGAAATGTCTTGGTGTCAGCAATCAAATCACTTTTCTCAAAAAAAAAAAAAAAAAAAAAAAATCCCTTATTTAATTGTGGCCTTTTCCAAATGTAATTCCCTTGACTATTTTGTTATCAGGATTCACAAAGCTTCACAGCAGGACTCTTTATATTAATAAATACCACAGTGGAATTTGTTAATGCCTCAATTCTTTGTTTAAACATTCAAATCTCTTCTTCAGGGAGAGTAGTAATTTATGCTGCTCATTATTTCTAAAATAATGTCACTTATGCTAAATAAACAGATTCTTTTTTAAAAAAAGAAATTAAGCATTTAAGGGCTCTCAAGGGTTATTCTTACAGACACCCTCTCCATGAAATCACATGACCCCCAGGACAATAAGATAGGCAGTAATTATAAGGCGTCTGGCCAAGGGATGCTCTTCCGCGTGTAAATATTTTATGGAGTCAGCACCATGCAGTGGCACCTACAGAGTAAAATATTGCCTCCGTGAGCCCTGGGGAAATCGTCACCACTTCTCATTAATCAGCCCCTTTTACTTTTTGTACCTAAAATAGTGTTTCAAGAGATCAAAAACCATTCCAAAAATGAAAACACCCCTGAAAGATGGTGTTAACCCTATTGACTAAGAGGTGGCATCGCTGAGGTTTCGAATGCAACATGCGTGATAAAGAGCTTACCTGGACGACCTGGGGGGGGGGGGGGGGGGGCAGAAGCAATGAGTCTACAGAGGTATTATTACAAGTTACACACATTCTACTAAGTGGTGAAAAAGACATTCCGTTTTACCTCATTCTCTGGGGTGGGAGATGGCGTTACAGAACTAAGTGACCCTTTCCTGGGGCCCTGAAGGTCGGCAGGGATGGAGACAGGGCGTTCCCACTGAGTCGTTCCTGTTGGTATGTGCCAATAATAGGTCCCGGCGACGTCGTTGATTCTCTTCCAGCCAGGAGGCAAATCTGGGTCGGTCTGAAAGGAGTGATCACTCCATATATCTGCTGGGAAACAGCAAAAAAAAGAGTTTTGTTAAAAGAGGAAACAAATTACAGTCTTCCAAGTTTAGCACCAATGGTCAGGAGAATTCCACAGACAGATTTGTCCTTAGCCCAACTACAAACTAGAGCCATGCTATGGATAGAGCACGGTTTAAAAGAAAAAAGAAAAAAAAAAAAAGAAAAGAAAAGGTGATATGGAATACAACAAGGAAAGAACTGGAAAGGAGGGATGACATTTGAGAATATGGAAATAAAAGACCCACTGTCAAATCATCCCATAGCTCCAAGAACCCTATGACCAAATCAAAGCTCTATCAGTGGTGTTCTTATAAGCCGTTGAGTTGGCTCCAACTCTTGGTGACCCTGTGACTGAGTGATGTTCATGACAACCTGTCCTCAGCAGCCCTGCTCAGCTCCTGCAGACTCACGCCTGTGGGCTCTTTGACGGTGTCAATCCACCTCCTATTTGGTTTTCATCTTTTCCTGCTGCCTTCTATTTTTTCCAGCATTACTGTTTTTTCCAAAGAACCCTGCCTTCTCATGATGTGCCCAAGGTAGGACAGCTTCAGTTTTGTCGTTTTTGCCTCCAGTGATGTTTCAGGCTTCATTTGTTCCATTAGCCAGAATTAACAACGCACGTAAAATTTGCAGTGTCATATACAAAATCTACCTCATTCCTCTGTAAATTAGTAAGATTTACTGTCTCGTATCTTATAACATTCCCAGCAATGAGCACAACTCATACTTTAACAGCTTTCTATAAATAAATACTGCAATTATATCTTTTGATAACTCCCCCTCTGCAAAGTAGCAATGTCTTTTGTAAATCTCTAAAATTCTAAATCACACACTGAAGATTCCCAAGGAAGACAGTCTGGAAAAAGCCTTGGTATTCAAGGTGGAGGGCAAGGGTGCAGACTGATTCTAAAACTAGGCCCATAAAATAAGTATATAAAGTCGGGTGAGTGTGAAATACAACAGAGAATGGCAGGGACTGTGGCAAACTGGCAAGCATGTGCAAAGTCCAAAGGCATTCAAATCGAAAAATAATTTTTAAACACTGTGGCAGGGGGCGGTGGGGGGGGCGATAAATAAAATAGATCAGCTATTCCCTGGCCTATGTGAATATTTTATAAGTTTACTAAATAGCTCTTTGCTTTAAAAAGTCTGACTGCTGGCCTTTTTTAGAGTTGAATATGAAATGGATTAAAGGGCTAGAGCCGCCAGGAGAGAGAAGAGGAGCAGAGCAAGACATTCACAGAGACGGAGGCCAGGTAGAGGCGTCGCGGGCAGCTGTGTCGAAGCAGGCAGGTAGAACAGCTTGAGGAACCTGGGCTCTAACCTGGGGGACCACTGCAGTCTAACGATTAGGCCCTTTTCTACGCGGCCATTCAGAAGAGGCCGGGGCGCTTTACAATTCGATGAGAAAGCGTGTGGGTCTTGCGGTGTGCAAATGTCAGTGCATCACGTGGGCAGGCGTCACGGAGGCTGTTACAGCCACCACAGAAGAACAAGAAGCCAAACAAAGAGGCTGATTAAGGCTACACACATGGACAATCATGAGGCTGTTAGGATCCCAGCTTTCACTTTCTCATTTAAATCTGCTAGAGGCAAAACTGCCCCTTCTCTCAAATTATGATGGAAACTTCCCTTCCCCTTACAGGAAATTAAGCATGATTAAATAATTTCAAGTTGCTCAAACTCTAAACAAACATGTGTATAAACTCTTTTGTCCTGTGTTAGTTTTTAGGGGGTTGTTTCTACAGTAATTTTGTTTTCGGCATCTCAACTGAGGCAGGACAGGTTAAATCCATGGGTTTGGGGCTGCTGAAGAAAACCTGATCAAGGGCGTTCCGGTCCCATTCCAGTGGCTCCAAGACATGTCCTGGGGCTAGAAACCGAAAGCACAGAAAACGGCTGCTAGCTACCACTGCTGTGGTTTTGAGGTCCGAGGGCCTGAATTTACATATCTATCCAGTTTCTCTACAGCTGAGGCTTTAGCTCACATGGAGAAGAGCTACATACACAGCACACAGAATATGCAATCATGTCAGACCAAGGACAGAGACCAAGGTCGGCAGTCTGAAGGTCTGGCTGTCCGAGGAGGCACCTCAAGGGCAAAATGAGAGGGGCTTTGGGTTGCAGGGCGGGAACTGGGCTATTCAGTCTCCAGCCTGTCCCAACCACTTCTATCTGTGTTATGTGCCGAGTTTCTGCCGAGAGGTTGCTGGGGAGAAAGAGGGGGCGGTTATTTTGTTGGTAGAAGCCGGTGACGATGGTGAGACGATGATGATGGAGGAAGGAAGGTGGGCACGTCTGCAGTGTCATTAACAGTTCCGGAACCATTTACAGAACCCCTCCCACATCATCCTGCACTGGTCGTAAGGCCTGCGCACCTGCAAGGGCAGGCAGACGCGTCTGTCTTGTTTGCCACCCTGCTCCCCTGACCTGGCCCAGCAGGTGTTCAGCCACAATGAACTGGATGGATGGATGGATGGATGGATGGATGGATGGAGAGATGGAAAGGAGAACAAATAAAGAAGGAAGGAGGAATGAATGAAGGAATGAAGTCCTTGAATGATGGAATTTGGAAACTGGCACTGAGCAAAAGAGGGAAGAAATTAGTTCTGTGCAGTTTCACTAAATAGGGCAACTTTCCCACCCCAGGAACACTAGCTTCTGGTGAGGAGCAATGTATGCTTCCCTTGATGCATGTTCTTATAGATAAAAAAAAAATACAATAGGATCAAGTGGAAAGAGTTCTGGGCTGGAAGCCAAGATGCTTGGAGTTGAGATTTTTCTTTCTTTTTTAATTGATGTATTTGAGAAGGAAAAGTATGAAGTAGACCTTCTGAGGGACCTCAGCCCTATTCTACTTCATTTTGTTTAGTGTTCATACCCCCAGTTTGTTTTGTTTTTCTGCATAAAATGATGCATGTGGTGGTGGGGGGGGAATCCAAAAAACCTGGAGTTACCTTCTGTGGGGTGGGCCCCTTGTAATACAGGCTTCCCCCGGCTAGATGAGTATTTTAGTAACCTATCTATAGCGGTGCACCAACGGGCGTTGTTGTGAGAGGCTGCGTTTGACTTCAGTGAATTTTTTTGAAGACTCTTTCAAAATGTTTGCCCATTTCATGATGGGTGATTTATGAGCACACCTGCCCACACCACGCTGAGTGTTCAGCAGTTTTTGACCAAAAATGGAGTAACCTTTGTGCCTCGCCCTCCCTATTCACCCAGCCTTGCCCTGAGCAACTTTGTTCTGTTTCCCCAGATGAAGAAAGTCCTCAAAGGGAAATGTTTTGCCGTTGTGGAAGAGGGGAAACAAAAAAAGGCAGAAGCACTAAAAGGCATCAAAACTGACCAGTTCAAAAACTGTTTTGAGCAGTGGAAAAAACATCTTGATAGGTGTAATGCATCAAATGGAGACTACTTTGAAGGTGTCTGGAGTTTAAACATGTAAGAATAAAAACAGTTTTTATAAATAGATTTAAATAAATTTCGTTTTTGGGGGGGTCCCCTCCTTGTATATATTTAAATAAGTACCTTAGGCCTTAGTCAGTGGGGGGCTAGCGGTTTTCAATTGCTATCAAACTGGGGAGGAAGACAGCGGTGCAGGGAGGTGGGATTCCAGGTCCTTCCAGGGCCTTTGGACTATAACAGCACCACTTTTATCTGTCTTACATATTAGTGTTCTATGTATAATTTCCCTTGAAAACTGGGATCCATTGTTTTTTAAAAACTTTTGCTTAAAACAAAGCTTAAAATCATAGCTAAGGCAAGAGATCAGAAGTGTCAAGCCATGTGCATACCAAGATGCTGCTTCTGTCCTAAGATTGCGCAAAATGTTGCAAAGCAGCTTAAAGGCTGCCCTCCCGTGGGTACAACAGCGGACATGGCATGAAGGAGGGCACGCAGACTAAATCAAAAGAAGGAAACCTGCAAACACCAGGTTATTAGAGAACGTCCCAACCCCTTTTAATTCTCAGAAAGCTACGTAGCGCAGCCTTGCTGAAGCAGCAGCTGGGGCCGGAGCCACGGACAGGCGCCGGCGGCGGATAGCGCCATTGCCTTCGGAACCTCAGCAGTTTCAAACTGGGTTTCTGTCCTGCGCCCCTTCCAGACAGATCTGCCTCGGGTTCCAAGGCCACAACACGGTACTCCCCGCCTTCGGTGGGAATACCCTGAACGGCCCCCAGACCCCTCCTGGGTGGGTCATTGCACGACAGTAACCGCAGGAACTGCCTTCAGTGTGATGACATAAAACGAAACAGGATTCTCCCCGGAGCTACCCAGCCGCAGGGCCACTGCACAGACCACCTGTGAGGGCCACTCAAGGGAAGGTTAACAGGAGGGTGGGATGGAGAAGCACAGAGAAAGCCTGCCGAGTGCTGTTAAATACTCCGGGGAAACTAGAACTGAAGGGGGCCAACCAAGGCTCCGGACACGGCACCATGCAGTCTCGGCGGACGCTGCGGGCGCTTCCTGTCGGGCGGGGCCACTCGCTATTTGAACGACCTTGGACAAGTTACCCAGCCTTGTGGGGCTTCAGGTGCTTCTCTGTAAAACGGAGAGGAAAACAGGACCTACCTCACCAGGCAGTGTGTAAAGCATCCAGAATAAAGGTTGGCAGAGCACAGGCACAGTCACTACGTAAATGTTCACTGTTATTGTTATCATTATCATATTATGCATCTCTAAGCCAACAATATAATAACATATTAAGTTCACTAAAGTCACTATGAAGAAGACATTTTCCTCTGTCCAAAGGGAAATGCTCACTACAGAATTTATGGGATTAAATGTCCATGATGGTTCAGAGAACAAGGATAAAAGATGATAACCGTACGATGAGACTTCTTGAGGAAGGTCCAACGGGGTCCCTCCGAAGGACGGGGCTTTGAGGACCCCAGAAGGTCAGACCAGACCAGATTCTACCGAGCATGCCTTCTGGGCTTCCTCCCACCGTGCACCACATCCCTGCCTGCTGTGCCGCTGCTTCA